CTCCTGAACGGGAGGCGGACTTTCGCGATACGGTCGATCCGGCAAGGGAACCTGTGATAAGTGCAGGGCACCCCTTGTCCGGGGTCACCGGTAGGTGGCAACTTCTTTTTAGATATTACTATAGTCACAGGTGCAACCTGGGTGCAGAGCCCGACGCCCGTCCAAGAGGGGGCGGGGTCACTGCTCCCAGGCAGGAGCCCTGTGTTATAGGTAGGATTAGATGTAATCAAGAAGATGACAACTAGTGATTAGAATGTTCATAGAGATAAGGGACACTCTATTGGAAGGGGAAAAGTGGCAGAAATCACTTACAACAAACTGCAAGTCCCACTAACTAGAATATTCAGCACCAATGAAGGTTTTAAAGTAATCTGTAAAGATGACTTTGATTCAGATAAAATCCTTTCAAAAGAAGCAAGAGATATATTTTACAATGAAGGCCTTATTGTTATCATGCCACCAGAACAAAAAGCAAAAAGATCAGTTTTTGTTCGTCAAGTCGATCAAGAGATCGGGAGGAAGACCTGAAAGAAGAACTGGAACGCCAAAATAGGTGGATGAAGATTGAAGAAGTCATTAAGATAAAGGACTATACTCATGTTTGAAGAAGTGTCAATGGCTGAGAAAGTTTTACAACAGGGCTTTCTAATATTCAACATGTCAGTCACACCACATCAAATAAAGAAGGAGACATTCATCAGTCTGCAAACTTGCTTCTCCTGCTACAAATATGAAGAACACACAACGAGAGACTGTCCGGAAAAAGAAAAAAAGTACTGCTCAGATTGTGCAGGCGACGACCATACCTACACTGAATGTAAGAATACACATGCTGGCTGTCTCAACTGTAAGAGAAACGGGAATGTATACATAGGACATAGGACGTTGGGGCAATGGTACATGCCCAATAAAAAAACACATGATAAAGTACAAGAAACAAGGAAAAAGGAACAAGACAAGAAGGATACGACATACGTCGAAATAGCAAAGAGAGCGGGTCCAAGAGGCTCATAGACCAGAATCCACAGTATTAAACCTAAGTGAGCCAATACATGATAAGGTAATGATTAGTATGATCCATGCACATTTGCACAATATCATTGCACCCGGATCACATACAATGAGGAATTAAGGAAAATGTTTAAATTGAATAACCTACCAGAGATGATATTTCCAGAGAATCCACAATCCGAAAAACTATTTCAGACAACATATGCAAGCGAACTGAGAGAAAGACTACATCAAGACGAACAAAGGTTTGAGCAAGGAGCAACAGCTGATACACAAGGAACACAAGCGACTGATAGAGATCCCAGAAAAATGACTAGAAGTGACAAAGAGAAGATAGAAATAACAAAAGGACAGACAAAGGAGTAGGAGGAGAGAAGATAAGATGGAAACTGATCACAATATACAACCTGAATCTGCTGAAGAAATTGGATTAAAAGTTATCACTACAACAAAACATGGAATCCCAACATCGAGACCAACAGGAGGGACAATAGTAAAAACTGTGAAGGAGGGATATACAAGTGGACATATCAAGAAAAATCCCTAAGTGAAGATTATGTCTGGTCACTAATTACTACGGACAAACTAAAGATTACGGCCAAAGACTTTAAAATAGTAGACCCGTCAGAGTATAGAAGAGTCAGAAGCGGGAAACAGGATGATAGGTCTCCACTCCAACTGACTGCCACAATCCAAGTATAAGAAATAATGGACAATAGACAAACAGTAAGAACGTTAAGAATAATACAACACAACGTAAGAAACTGGAAGACCGAGAGAATTAACCTAAGTAATATATATCGCGAAATTGACCCTGACATTATACTAATAAACAGTCACGGTGAGACAGAAAACAACAACATAAAACTCTTTAACTATTATGTAAACCAAAGAAATAAATCGGGCGAGAAAAATGACGGAGAAGCGATAGCGGTTAAAAGAAACTTAAAATTTAAACTAATTGATGACTTCCAGGATGAATTTCTAGCAATAAAAATAAATACAACTCAAGGAGACGTAATTATTGCTACTACTTACCTATAGAAGACCTATTAAAATTGGCTAACAATAGTCATCCGATGTACATCTTAGGAGACTTTAACGCCAGACATAGGATTTTTGACAATACAAATAATAACGTCGTGGGAAACGCCCTTAATCAATTAATAAATTTAGGAAAAATCAATCATCTGGGTCCTAACTTTCCAACCTGGAGAAATCACAATACACAATCGACACCAGACAAAATTTTTACCAACAACAAAGCCTTTTTCAATTACCATATAATACAGGCAGTGACCATCTGCCAATTATACTAACACTGTCAACAAGCCCCATACAGATACCAATAAAAAAGAGACTGAAAATGAGTAAAACAGACTGGGACAGCTTCAAAGACGACTTAAGTAATCACCACTTGATTAACCTACAAGGGAAAACAACAGAAGATATAGACTCCAGAAATGGACAGACTGCACTCAGCAATAAA